GTGACATTGGTGAATCCAAACTAAATCTTTAAAACACCAAAGTTTTCTTCACAAATTCAACGTAACATGGGGTGTCAATAATTAAATATCACTTGTGGGGTAGGCTTTTTCTTTAAATCAGAATACACAGTAACAGGTACAGTAAGGACAGCACCTAACGATTATTTTCGGATTGCTTGTTTAGTCTGACTAGCATTTCAAAATCCAAAGATATGTAGTTTAAACAGAAACAGAAAAGACAAGAGTGGAGCAAAAAAATGTTAGCAAGTGTTTGCCTTGATTGCTTTTCATTTATCAGATTTATTGCCAGTTAATTGTATGTCAAATGTTTTGTAGACTCATCGTTTCACCTCTACCCCAGTCTTCACAATTGTGACCATCAAGCTCTAAATTTCCATAGCCTGTCCTATCATATTACAGAGTTTTGGTACCTCATCAGTTGTGGCAACAAAAACAAAATAGCCCATTATCAGAGCACCTCTGACTTGTCTCATCCCATCTTTAATGCTCACAGCTCCCAAATCCCTCACCAAATACACCACAGCTCCTTGATGGGACAGTATCAGTAAGGTGCACAAACAACCATTGAGTGTGAATAGTAGTTGGCCAGATATGGATAATAGAAGCTAAAGGGGGCAGATGAGCTCTTGGATGGGCTCAAGGAGTAAGGATAGAACGCAGGAAGATGTTGCGAGGCACATGCAAGATGTCCACTAGAGTCATTACTAGCCACTGTACTGTATCTCATGCTGAGACTGGGGAGGCTTGGTGTGAGTATTTGACTTAAGTTAAGACTGCATATATTAGCTGCAGGCTACAAATGTTGGAGCTGGGGCAGTGAATGGGCAACAACCGGCTTATTGAACCAGTGAGGTGAACAGCATGTCTGTTGGGCACTGATGGCTCTTTGCTACTTCACTACTGCGCTTGCTGTCTAAAACACATATACCATTGTATCGTCAAGAAATGGTGAATTTGGAGTTGTGCTTTGTTGAAATATGCAAGCAAACATGAGAAGATTACACTTAATGTCTTGTATTAGGAGGACTTTTGTGTAAATCCAAGTGGACATGTAATTTCAGCACGTTCACACTCACATCATATATGGTTCCCTGACACTGAGGATTATTTCAACACTATGAAGTAATATTTCATGAGTTTTAGGTGTGTGTATGTGTGTGTGTGAATGAGCCATAGCAGCTGATATGCGAGCAGGGAGCCTGAGACGACAGAAAACGCCCCAAATTGCAGCGTCTGCCATGCGCTGAGCCTCCTGCACCAAGACACTGTCTTTTGTTCTCCCCTGCTAGCGGGAGAAGCCTGACAGCTCTGAAATGATCCTCTTTCCTCTTTCATACACACACACATCTCTCCTTCTCTTTTCAACTTCTCTACTATATATTTCCCAATTTTGCGTGCACACAAAAGCGGTACATACACACACACACACACACACACACACACACACACACATGCACAAAAAACATACATTCTGCTGTCTGTCTCGCTCCTATAGCCTTTATTTTTCCTCCCTACCTCTTGTTTTCTCTCCCTGTCTGTCTTTCTCTCTCATTTTTCCTCACTGGCTTGCTGTGAGGATGGCGAATCCCTCATGGATTTCTGGAGGGTATCACCATGGAGACGGGGCTCTGCCACACGTGTCTGTATATCCTCCTGCTGGATAGGGGGCACAGCCAGAGGTGGTGCATTCCCTCCATCTCTAGTCTGCTCCGTGGAGAGCGAAGGGAGAGACAACAATGAGCTGAGGTTGAGGGAGAGATAGGAGAAAATGGGAAAAGGGTAGAAAGTGTAAGTGGTGGAAATGTAGAGAGAAATTGGCGTGAGAGAGGGATTGAGGTAATCTATACTCTAAAATATACAGCATACGGAGGAGGTGGAGAAAGTGGATGTATGGTGGCAAAAGGAGCAGGTGAGGTGAGAACAGAGAGGGAGAAATATGAGGTGAGAATGTTGGGTGACAGGAAGAGATGACAAGAGAGAGAGGAGAAAAGAAGCAGCAGTGAGAGGAGGCAGAGGAAAAGGCAACAGCCGTCTCATCCCTGTGTCAGGGAGACAAATAGCGTGTGATGCTAATGACTGGCTAAAGCTTTTGCCCCTGCTGAGAACAGCCGCTAATATGACTGCTAATAAAGGCGGCATGGAACGCTGTCGCATTCCAGCAGTCGCTCAACTGTCGCCCAAAATTAGCCAAACGGGAGCTCTCCCTCTCCTGCCGCTCCACTCTCCTGCCTCACATTAATGCTCCAGAAATGGGACCCTCTCTGTAACGTTTCCAGGAGGTTTTTCTTTTGCATTAAAGGGCCACTTGTTCACACAGTAATAGAATTTGTTCCATCTTATAATGCTGAGGATGCCCACTCCATAAAATATGAAGTGGTCTTTTTGTGATCTGAGGCTCTTTTCGTCTTTGATTGCTACCTCTCATACCGCACACTCCTCTTGGAGGATTTTGTGATTCTGCCAGGGGACAAAGCAAAAGGAAACTTAGAATGGTACAGTATTTTCTCATCTTCTTCCTCTCTCTGCACAATGCCTGCAGAATGCCTTTTCTTTTTAATTTTAATGCCACCTAATTATTTCTGGAATTTTAATTGCCAAGCGCAGTGAGTGGGATGCATCGCTTGTGATGACGAATGTTGTAGCCAAGGTCACACAGCGACAGAGCCAGGGAACGTGGGATGGCGGAGCTGTGGAGGCTTCCTGTGGCTTAGTCATCGTGGGGCTCGAGGAGCGTCGGGGCAAACACACCTCTCACGGTGTCACAACAACCTGACAACGCCTCTTAACACGAGTGTGATTAAAAGGCATTTACATAAGATGCTCTGCGGTCGCTTTCAATGTGCAGGAGCTTTTAAACAGAAGCCAAATATCTGTTCCACTGTAGGTGGAACTTTTAGAGTAGTCGGGTTTTAAAACATGTCCGCTCTCTGTAATCAAAAGGCCGCTTTGTTTGTACAATCCTGACCCAAAATTATGAAGTGCACTTGACTCCTTTTAAAGATACAATGAAAAAAATACAAACCCAGCATTTATTATTTGCTATCCATTAGCTGATGTTGCAAAGCAATTATAGCAATTCAACAACTTCTTTTTTTAGAGGTATTGAGGTATAGTCACATTAATACCTGTCAGCTACTGAGCTATGCAGCTCAATGCTTGAGAGCAAACACTGCCTTAAGACTACTTTATTTTTAAGGTAAAGGTAGGGAGACTGGACCAGGAGACAGAGGGGGAGAGGAGGGGTGAGAGACTGTCTATGTCCCATTCCCACACCACTTTTCCCTCTTCCCATCCCTGCTCCCCCTCCTCCTTCCTCCCACTCACCTATCCTCCTCTCCTGCCAGCCCGCCTGCCTTGGCAGCCGCTAACCTGCTGGGACCGGCCCTTGATTTATTTGGAGAGGGCCCTGGAACGGAGGGGCCAGGATGAGTGGCATTTTAATGTGCTTTTGAGATGTTTGGTCACAAGCACTATTGATCACAGTGCCGCAGCGCACACACACACACACCCCTCCCTCACTGTCCCGCAGACCCTCACGCTGCCCTGGGGGAGAGGTCTGGCTGTCAGGCAGGGAATGAGTTTCCATGCAGGCTTAGATTAATGAAATGAGGCCCCTGGTTGCGGGGGGTGCAGGGGGTCAGACCATTAAGGAATCCCTGGGCTGGGCGAGATTGAGCCTGCCAGCTGACTGTACCCTGACTGACTGATGGACGTCCGGGACTGAAGAGAGAGGGAGATAGAGGAGGATGGATAGGATATTGGACTGTGGGACACACTGATGTGAAAAACAGAGAAAAAAAGGGCAACTGAAATGTGTTGCTAAGACTGCGATCCACTATCCTACAACGCCACCTCACCACTGCCTTTTCCGTAGCCACTCTACAACAAAAGCAGCACATACTGACTAACAACTACCATTTTCTTAGTCTCACACACAGCCTTGTGCCATTCATTCACATCAGGTCTTACTCTAAGTAGCGCCGAGCCGAGGAAACATCCAGAGGTTGTAAAAATAGGAGCCAGGGATATTTCACAGCCGAGTGAACATGCCCAAAGCGTGTTTAGCTCTCTTACACTCCAGCCCGGACAAGGGGTTTATTTGATGGCCAAAACACTCAGCAGAACTCATCATAATTCTGACTGTGTGGGTGCTTTTGTTTTCAAATGTGCCAAATGTGCGCACACAGCCACACACATGCACACACTCTCATACATAAATGTACAAACAGCTGCACATGCGGGAAAGTCACGCACATGCAGCTTACATTGGGGGGCCGGGTAGCAGCTCGGGGCTCTCAGAGGTTTGATGAGTGAAATGGATTAAGCCCCTGTGATCAATAGCCTGAGCGAATACACAGATTATCAGATTATCAGATTAAGATCTGTCCCCCTGCTGCCGAGGGGAGCCAGAGAATACATTAAAACCTGAGGTGCCTCGGCGAGATTCAATTAATCAGGCTACAGGTTGTCTTTTCCCCCCTTACAGTCAATTCCAGACAAGCCGTTGTGTTTTGCTGCACTCGGTTCACGTCAGAACAAGGGCATATCACTCTGAAACAAAGTGTTTGCGGAGCACACACAGTGATTTTCTTTTGCCTGAAGAACAAATTGGTGTTACCTGAATATAAATGAATGTGAAAATAAACTAAATCTTCTGCTTTGTTTGCTCCAAAGATAGAGACTTTGTAACTGTTTTCAAGAAGAAATGGAGCATTTTATTATAATTGCCCAATAGTTAATGAGTACATGTCTAATTAAGGTTGGTTAAGCAAAGTTTAATATTTTTCCCAGCAGAAGAACTTAAGAGGCATTGCTTTCCTTGCAGTAAGATGCTTTTGTTCTACTGCTGCTTTGTGTATTGTATTCTAGTTTGTAAACCACGGCACCTTAACACAGAGGCCTGATTGCAAATGAGCATTAGCATTTATGGCCAGGTGAGGCTAACAGCTAATGGCTGCTCTGTTATCTCTCCTCTGCAGTGTGTACGGCTGCCCCCTGGCCAAGAAGAGAAAGAGTCTAGACAGGCAAACCCTGGAAACCTCCCCCAAGAGGAGCACCTACCTAGATGACATGGACAACTCCACCATGGAGGAGTGCTACGAGACAGATGGGACCGAGGAGATGGACGACAGGGAGGAAGAGGAGGAGGAGGAAGGGGCGGTAGAGGAGGAGGAGGAGGAAGAGGGAGAGGTGGAGGAGGAGGAAGAAGAGGAGGTGGAAGGCTATATGGACTACAACGTAGAGCAAATGGAGCACGAAGATGGGGAGGTGGAGAGAGGGGACGGAGAAGGTGAGGAAGAGGAGGAGGAGGAAGAAGAGGAGGTAGAGGTAGAGCAAGAAGAGGAGGAAGAGGGCGAGGAGGAGCGGGTGGAGGAGGCAGAGGAAGAGGAGGAAGCAGTAGAGGAGGTGGACTATGAAGAGGGAGAGGAGGAGGAAGGAGAGCAGAGTCAAGGGCAAGGTGAGATAACTCTTGTCATATTGTACTAAAACGCAGTAGATAGATGTTGGTGTTGAACGCTCTAGAACACTGATGCCATTCACATGTCTGTGCAGTCAAGTTAGGGCAACAGCCAGCAGCTGGTTAGCTTAGTTTAGCACAAAGATTGGAAACAAGGGGAAACAGCTAGCCTGGCTTTGTCCAAAGTTAAAAAATTCCACTCACAGAAGCAGAATTCTTAACTCTCAGTATTAACATGTTATATCTCATTTGTTTAACCCAAACTGTAAAAACGACAACCATTACCATTAAATTGGGGGTTATGTCTTGGCTCAGTTGCCAGGCCACGAGTCAACACTTCAGAAAGTGACAGTGCCCCGACTGTTTTGTATGCATTAAACAAAGAAGATGTAAACTGGTGATTAATTAGATTTAGAGGTGCTGATGGGAGGACTTTGTTACCTCTGGACAGAGTTAGACTAACTGTTTCCATGTTTCCAGTCTTTGTGCTAAGCTAAGCTTAGCTAAGCCAACGAAATGCTGAGTGCTGATTTACCGTACAGACCAAGCCCTGGCAATGATGCACCCTGACCTTCTTCCTAAGCAAACTTTCTCGCTCTTAATGTAGCAAAATGTCAGTTGCTCTGAGCGTTCAGTATTGCTGCTGATGGATTTACATTGCAGTTAGTTGAAAGCCCCGTGCATCTCATACAAACAAAAAGGGAGCCTCGTTTCCCAGTATCAGGCACAGAGAGAGAATGTGTCGGTAAAGCCAGGCTGTACAGACGATACTGGTATCAATCTTCTCATGTAACTCTCCATCAGAAAGCAAATAAACATTCTTCTCAAAAAGTTAAAAAAAAAATGTTTTTAACACTATATCTATCTATCATTATTTTTCAAGTACTGTGTTTGCATATCTTTTATATTTCATTTGATTTTGATGAGCTGATTGAAGTAGTTTGGGGCAGTTGGGCATGATGTTCAAACACTGATTGTGTTTTTCATTGGAAAAAGATAAAAGACCTGACACAACATACTGAATCCAGCATGGCTGAGGCCACACAATGTATTATTCCTACAGTGACAGGTTATTTTTTAATGTCATTTTTTATGTGATTCATTCATTTATTCATTTCACATTTTACTCATATATATGCACATTTTCAAAGTGCTACTGAACTCTTACTGTAGTCTAAACCCACCAGACGCTGGAGAAGTGGTGCACTTGCAGCAATTTGTTTGCTGCTTTCTTGTTTTTTAATAGAGTTCATCTTAAAAATATTTAGTACCTTAATTACAGTGAAATTATCAAAATTGATGGCTAAAATTTAGCAGAATCCAACTTTGCAATTATTTCCCACTGAAATGTTTTAGCTTTCTCCAGAAGACCTTTGCCAGAAACACTAGAGCCATTAGTGCTAAACCTGGAACCATGATTATTTTTTGTAAGCAACAGAAAGCAATCAAAGGAATCTTCAGTTGCTTAAATATTAGAGATGTTGACAATCAAATCCTTAGTGTAATTATGGCTTTCTTGAAGACATGATACAGAAATACCATCTATGTTTTGGGACTGGGATTTAAGAAACTCCTGCCCCATATGTTATCTCCCCCCCCCCGACATGCCCAAGACCAGATTTGGCAGGTTTCTCTCCAGCAGATTCTGCTTTGCACCCCCGCATCACGATTGGACCTGACAGTGCCTTCAAGTCCAATTAAGAGTGAAGCTCTGAGAGAGGAGGAGTGTGTTAACCCTGTTTGGCGCGTAGCTCTACCCACCCAAAGTGTTGATGTGGCATCGCAGCAGCAGCCATGCTCTTATTTTAGTTGCAGAATGTGAATCTCTACAGACTGGTGTTCATTAGAGCCCACAGCCGAGGCCTTATCCGTAACACTGAGACGGTGGACTGTTGCCACTGTCTCTTCAGCCTGTCAACAGCCTCTCTTTCCATGGGTAGACGCTGATTACCATGTTTTTTTGATAAGTGCTTTGGACATGCCACAGTGCGTCTTGTTGTCACTGGAAGGTGTTCTCTTGCCTGATGAATTCTCCAAATCCTTCTCATCATCGAGCTCTATAATCATTGTGTTTGCTTTATTGGAATAGAAGGATTCAACAGCATTTTAATCTGCAGCATTTTCCTTTAGAAAGGCAGAAAAATCTTTCTGTATGCATCATTACCATGTTCCCCATTCGCCCCAAGACAGCCGTACTGGATGGTCGCTGGGCAGATTCCAATCTCCTAAATGTAATAGAGGTGACATTCTGGAGCTTCTCTGTGTTTCTCAGTGGCATGCACATCTCTGTAGCTAATCCAAAGCCAATTCAGGGCAGGGCAGTCCCTCTGTTCCCTCCTTAATCTGTTTCGCTTCCATATCCCTTTTGTGTACCTTGATTGCTCTTCAAATTGCTTTCCTGTGCCATGTTTCATACCATCAAAAATTAAACCCCTGGTGCAGGAGGTTGCTGTAAGAAGCCTTCCACTGTCAAAATGTGTGCCTGGTCATTCGTGACTGTTCCCTCTTCCCGCTCTAAAGCCCTCACCCCCCAAGCACCAATATTGTGTTGCTCTCATTAGATTGGAGTGTGTGTGTGATTGTGTACAGTATGTGAGTGAAGGAAAGTCAGTGTGAGGGTTTAGTCTATGTACAAAGTATATAGTTGGATTACATTCACAGTTGTTTTTGTATGCATACTTTGTTTTGATGAATACAGTCAAGTTCACGTAATTGTGCTGAACACTGATACGTCTTTGAGCCTGGTCATAATTAATTTTTCATCACTAACAAATAACACTGTTTTTTATTATTGTCATTATTTTTTGTCTCGTGATTCATTCATTCCCACCAGAAGTCAAACTCTTGTTTATTATTTCTGTGTGTAGGGAGGGTGGGGGATCTTTGGGTTCATTTTCTCTGCAGGAATGTAAGTGGCAAATGTGACGCCAACGTGAGCGATGTGCTCTTGGTGGCTCAGGGCGGAAATGTGAAAGGAGAGATTGGAAGTGCTCCAGGAGTGAGTGCTTGAAATTACTGACAGAAGAGGTTCAGTAACCTTTTGCAGCCTGTCAGAATCAATTAGGCAGTGAAAGGAATTCTAAAGATACTGATGATTGAATGAAAAAAGAACTTAACTAGCAAACGTTGAATAGCTACTGACTGGGGTTCATCGTGTTGCAGATGGAACACCATATTATCTCTCATATTTTAGACTCTCCTGTTAAAAAAAAAAAAGCTCACTGTAATTCAAAGATTTTCTCACAGTGTTTTGATTCACACTGCTGAACAATGACTAAAATGCTATCTCATTGCAACTATTTACAGACATCCAGGAAATAAGGGCAAGAAGAAGACTTGCCAAAGATATATTCCCTAGTTTCATAGATCCCCATTTACCAGAGCATCTTTCTCTGGAACTTTCCCCAGCCGCTATATTTAACTTCCTGTGCTGATTCACGATTCAGAACACAAGCTGCTGTTAAGACTCTCAAAGTAAATTATTAGGGGAAGCAAAGAGTTCCTTATCCAATTTAGATGGACCAAGCCCAGAAATCTGATTTACCAGTAAAATAGAATGACGGAAATGAAATTACAAGACGTTTGTTCTTTCTTTCCAACAGAGGACGATCAGATGAGCAGCAGCGAGGGGGGCGAGGGCGATGGCGGAGGTGGTGGCGGCAGTGCCAAATCCGGCCCGACGACGGAGAAGGACGACAACAACAACGACGAGTACGAGAACTACGATGAACTCGTGGCCAAGTCCCTTCTCAACCTGGGCAAGATCGCGGAAGACGCCGCCAACCGAGCCATGACAGAATCTGAGATGAACAGCAACTCCTCTAACAGCGCAGAGGAAGAGGAGGATGAAGAGGAAGAGGAGGACGAAGAGGAAGAGGAGGACGAAGAGGAGGAGGAGGAGGAGGAGGAGGAAGAGGAGGAGGAAGAGGAAGAGGAGGAAGAAGAAGAGGGGGAAGGGGATGAAACACAGAGGGGTGATCTGACTTTGGACGTTGACAGTGATGTGGTTCGGGAGACGGTGGACTCCCTTAAACTTCTGGCACAAGGTCACGGTGCAGTATTGTCAGACAATTTAGATGGACAGGAGTTTGAGGACAGTACAGCCGGGAATGGGGATGAAAATGACTGTACTCACAATGGGGGAAACGCACATAATGGTGGTAATGGACAAGTTAATATCAATAGTAACGGACAAATAGAAAACAGCGACGAGGAAGTGTGTCTAAGCAGTCTGGAGTGCCTAAGAAACCAATGCTTCGATCTTGCTCGGAAACTAAGCGAAACAAAGTCCACTGACCGAAACGGACCATCCCAGCAAAATCATTTTTCATGCGGGGATCCCAATCAACAGCCCCAGCATCACAGCTATGGGGATTTCCACCATAGTCAAGATGACAGACGAACGCTTGATAGGAACTATTCCGACATGGACAACCTCATGAAGCTTGAGGAGCAGCTGAGCCCACGCTCCAAGGCATTCTCCAGTTGTGCGCAGGACAACCGATACCACACCAACCTCCGGGACTTTGATGAGGACACAGCTTCCGTGACGTCGGACCGGTCAGAAGAAGTGTTTGACATGACGAAGGGTAACCTGTCCCTGTTGGAGAAGGCCATTGCACTAGAATCAGAACGTGCCAAGGCAATGCGGGATAAAATGGCGGCCGAGGCTGCCAGGAGAGACGGGGTGAGGTATAACCATGAAGACCATGGCCCGCGGCATGGCTACGGTGTTGAGCGTAAAGCCCGGCTTCCTGACGGCATGAAGAAGCCATTCTACCATAAAGGTGAGTGGATCTTTCAAAGGCCGACACGCTCAGATGCAGACCAAACCTCCACTGGGAACCATATCTACACAAGTGTAGACATGTTTACCTCATTTAACAAGCTCAGGTAAAATGTTTGTCTGCAACTGTTTGGCTATGTATTCTATCTATCCTGTACCGGAGACTAGACAGCCCACATGCATTCTGGGAACCTCACTATAACCCCAGGACAAGCTTTTTCAGCCAATTTGGAAATTCGCATCTCGGTAGCAGCGGGAGCGGCAGCAGCAGCTTATGTTGTTAAAATAGGCCAGCATGGAAACATCAGAGGGTAGGCTTGTCAGGCATAAGTAATGGCAATCTGCACGGCCTGTTAGGACCGCAAATCTCATCCCTGCGATGCAGCTTGGGGTAAAGCCGCCTATTTTTAAACCTGTGCAAGCACTTGGGAGAGGAAGCTACAAAACAGAGGCCCTCTGCCTTTAGAAAAGAATCAGTCTGTAGGGAACAAGGAAGCTTTTTACGTCTGTTTATGATGCTTATGACCTACTGTTACTGGTGCCACAGATAGACAGATATATATGGCTAATCATATAGTACAAATACTGCAGTATTCCATCAGTGGTAATTGTTATACAGTGTCTGCTTGTAGTATATACATACAGGATACAGTTGCAGTTACGCAGACATTGCAGTGGCATTTACAGTGGTTTGATTTCAAGCTCCCTTGTTTAACTCTTAATTATTTCTCTCATCATATCCTTGACTGCAACAATATTCAGACTTAGTTAGGTTAAATAATTTCCCCCCATAAGGAAGATATCAGATGAGACCAACAAATAGGAGCATGCTAATTCACAGCAGGGTTATATTACACCTTAAATGCCACACAACTCCCAGCAGGTATATATTGTGACTTAAATGCCACACAAATGTTAATTTCGAAAGCCTTCCCTGGCCCCTGTGTCTGGCTAATGTTGGAATAATGAGAGGACGCAAGACAGTTGCGTCACGATAACATCTTTCCTCAGGCAAGATAGTAGCAGACACTCGTTGACCAGGGTTCCTGTGTGATTCATAAAACAGAGCGTGGAGAGGGAGGGGGGAACCAGGATTGGGGGGTGTTTCACAGAACAGCCCCACTCCCTAAGAGAAGCATGAGGCTGAGATGAAAATTGAACAGTATCAGAATGACCGATAACGAACGGCAGGCCAACTGACTGCACATTAATTATCCAGAGATGGTATGGTAATGGGGGCCATTTGCTATGCAAAGCGCAGACCGTCCCCAGCCACAATCAATATCCCCTGCTTTCTAATATGCCTTCCACTTGGCTGCTTCCAGTCTGTGCTATAGAAGCGTGGCAGGCATCACATATGTGTGGAAATGGAGAATGATTTCCAACATACTGTTCAAACACTAACAGTCAATGTAATAATCTGCCCCAAAAGAAGCCATTATTAAGAAGCCACATTTTACATGCAGACCAAGTTCGTTATCAACATGAAATTTCCCTGGCTTTATTGCACTGGTGCCAGACAGAAGAGCCAGACATGACATAGCAATATTGTACCAAACTCATATGCCCCTAACGTGACATAGATAGATGATAGCCACAGTGGATAATGAGGTGCTTTTTTCTGATGAATGAGACATGGATTTCATGTGGTGACTCAATTGTATGAGTAGGTGTGCTCCTTGCCACCTCTCAGCTTTGTCCTTTCTCAACCCTCCTATCTCTTTCACCTGATTGTTCTTCTCTTTGCTCGCACTCCACAACCTCTGGTTTATTTTGGCTCGTCAGTAAGAGCCTTAGGTGGAGCTACTTAGTTACACAGGCCTGTAAAACTTTAATCAGTGGTCTGTCTTTCTGTGGCATGAGATAATAGCTGCTCCTCTGACTACTTTGCTAATACTTGCTCTAGATAACAGTTTCTGTCACTCACATGGCTCCAAATTGATTATACAGTCTGATACAACACTATACTCCTGTAGCTCTGCTGTGAAAAGACATTAAAGGCTATTTTTGCGGCGTAAATGTTCTTAATTTTTATTTAAAATGTTAATGTAAACTTCATCCTGCAAGAGACATTTCATGTTGGCTGTAAGGAGAGTCATTGACCTTGTTTGAGAGTCAAAGTGTTTTAAAGGTGGACGGTTACATTTGCAGAAACGATGCCAGTTGGCACAGCTTGGCATCGCTGCTTTTTGGTGGTAACTATATCTGATCTGGGTTTCAAAGAAATAGGAGAACCAGGTTTTGGGAGGGGAAAGACAATCTTCTCCGGTGTGTGTCTGTGTGTGTTTGTGTGTGTGCTTTTTGAACCCCCATTGTCACACTCAGCTCAACAAACTGTCATGCAAAGGCACAAGTGGTTTTAATGAAGAGAAGCGTGATAAATTCTTAATTGAATCTAAACTGAAAGATGAAGTGCTTTTTGTTGAAGGTCACTAACACGAGAGTTGTAATATTTCACAAATCCTCACAATTTCATTACAGTAAACAAACTTCATGATCAAAAGATCTGTCAGCAAGCCAATTATTGCATCTTTGTCCTTGTCAGTCTTCACTCCATTACTTCAAATAAGCACAGCAATAAATAATGGGCCATGAATAAGAAATAAAATCCACTTAAAATTCAAATGTTTTTGGTTGCAATAGTCAAAGGTGTAGATTTGGTTTCAGAAGTGCGGGGGTACATAAAGTCAAAAGTTCCTCAGCTAAACTGAAAAACAACCAAAAATACTATTCCCTGCGTTTTACATATTCATATCAATCCGGAAGATAACACATCATCATGAAATCATGATTCCTAGATTAATGATAGTCAAGTACAGGAAATAGTGATGTTAATAGCTACAAGCGGAAAGCTCACATTTCGTTTTCATTGATAGCTATACTTATATATTTAATCATGTATCATCTCAGAGCACTGCCTTATCAATGCTGAAAATAAGATTTATACCTCTTAGTAAACCTTTTTTTTATTGCTGTTCTGGTGTTAGGGCAACAGCTTTGGCCCCTGTTCATATCCTGTCAGCAGTCTAGCACATCAAATCTAACTCCACTCTTGATCTTTGCGTTGGAGACTACTAGGAAAAGGTCTGGCTGAACCCATCATAATAATGTACCAAGGGAAAAAAACACTCTGGGATGTTTTTGCATTTATTTAAACCAGTCACAATTGTCAAGGGCGGCGCTAAGCCCAGTGCACAGTAATAGTGCCTTTACAAGATAGTGTCGGGAGATAGCGGAAGGGAAGGTGAAGTCTCTCTGAAATAGGTGGCCATGGCAGGCTTATACCAAAGGTGTATAAAGAGAAATGGATACAGCATCGGAGGCAGGGCCCTGGTCATTGCTATGAAAGTTCCTCTGTGTGTAAAATCACGCAGATCTTCCACTCTGCTTCCATGTCTTTGGGTCCATGGAGCAGGCATGGAGACTCCTACAAGTCTTCCACTAACTTAAATGGGGATAAAGTGATTCGATTGTGCAACTTTTCAAGACTTTCAAAATGTTAGCAGACCAAATAGATCAAATTACAAAAGTGAAATGAGTCGTTTCGTGGGGGTTTTACAGGCATCTCTTTCACAATGAAAGTCTGAGGTAAAAATTATTTTCGGGCCAAATGGCATCACATGACGGGCCCAAAAATTGTAATTGCACGGTTTGGCCACTTTGTCAGATTGGCTTCAAAGCCTGGTGCCATTTGGTGTTGCCCGGTTTATACCCACAGTCAACATCCTGAGAGTCAGGCTATCCTGTAAAATACCACATTAACAACTATTCTAACAGCAAATACAAAGGGGGCCATTTAGAATGTTTATGTTGTCAAGAGAGAAAAGGTCTACAGAAATAGCGCTCATCGCAATAGTAATTGAAAAGTCCAGGACATCCAGGACGAACAGACATGTTATCTAAACAGCCAAACTGCACATCTTGTGTTCATCAACATCTGTTCCTTATTGATACAGCTGTGTTCAGCTTTCAACATGTCATATACTTTCTGTTATTCACATATGGCATTTTAACTCCCTTAAAACTTACGTGACATCTGGGAGATATGTTTCTGTGCAACTTATAGCTCTGATGTTTGCAGCTGCCACAATGCCAGCCTCACATGAGCTTATGTGTTCTTTTGTCATGTGCCATCACCTCAATATGACTTTCTGCTCGCAGATGCTTCACGTGCAGACAAGAAGGAAAGTCGATGTCCGACACCAGGCTGTGACGGCACGGGCCACGTTACAGGCCTCTACCCCCACCATCGGAGTCTGTCCGGCTGTCCGCACAAAGACAGGGTGCCTCCAGAAAGTAAGCACTTCAGCCACACACCAGCCTAAACACTGGTTTGGCTCATTTACCCAACCTGTGGCCTCCGTGCTCTTTGATGTTCAGGAATCAGCATGTTTCCCGTGATCACTGCTGTGTCTGGCTCGTTTTATGTGCTGTGTACTTGCTGTCTTGGGACTTTGTTTGATATTTCAGCAGGGGGTACAGTGAGGGTCAGACAGGTCACAGCTGCACTTCTCTTATGACCTTTTGCATGGGGCCATGGTTATGCTTGTCGATTGCCTGCCTAGTGTGCCGTGGTGACGAGGTGGGGAGTGACGCCTTGGTGATGCACAAATAGTGGCAATGCAGCAATTGATGGGATGGTCAAGAGCTGTCAATCTGTGGCTTACTTGACTGCATGAGACTTTCTCTTCCACTAGATTGACTGACAGTGATTGAGAGCATATGATAATCCCATCCACTGCTGTTGGCTTCATCATTGTAGGGGATATATGGGCTGCATGCTTCTTCACAGCACGATTTATTGTTGAATGTGTGACTGATAAGAAAAGGTTAAATGTCATGTTTTTGTATTTCATTAATTTGCGTAGCGTTTTAAAGTTAATTGAGTCTTAACATTTCAATTTTTTGCAAAAAGTTGAGAATGCTCACAGACCTTGATAACACTGAGCCTGCCTCACTCATCCATGCCATGAACTCCATTCATTTATTTATATTCCTTGCTCAATTAAGTTAGTTGAATGGAAAGGCTGTATCATATCTCGGAGCCACGGATCAAGTGAAGTGGCAATAAACATTAGCCTTGAATGAATAGTGAGTTTTCCTTTCGAGATTTCACCCCAGCTATTTAGTCTCATTCACCTTGTGCAAACTTCTCAATAAAAGCCCCTTTACATGTTTCATTAACTGCAGCGTGAAAATCAAGTTATGATCTGTCATGACCCAGACTGCAATCAAAATAAAAGAGGGTTTTAATAATGGCAAAGAAATTAGTTACCATTAAAGCGAGGCTTGTAAAGACCAGCAGTGTCACAGATGACTCTTGTTCTGCGGAGCGCCGCTTGCATAAAGGTCCCTAACCTGAGCTGTACTTGTCTCCCAGAAATCTGAAATGACTCAGAGCTGTTGACCTTGACTGGGATCAAGAGCCCCAAAATGGAATTTGGAATGGGCTTGAATTGATTGTCACTGGAGATTTTGGAATATGATGTCTGTGTTCCTCCTCTTGTTCCTCACTTGTGTTGATCGGGCTGACTTTTTTTGGGAACTGATACCACTAATACTGCACAGGATGCTTTGGATCACAGAAAGTTCTCTTCTTGATCTTTGTGGCATCATCTTCAGTTCTTCTTCCCTGACTTTAAAAGGATACTTGAGAGTGAAACACACACACACACACACCTTGTTGCTGTAAAAAGGTGACCTGCTTTAGGCGGCTTCAGTTATAACTGGGTCTCTGCATTATCAGCCATGTAGCAACCAGTCACTAGGTTTCTGTCAATATGTGGTCAATAGTCTCATGCAGACTCCTTGCTTTACCACTTCAAAGATGCCCTCCATCCAAAATCAGGTTTTTAACCTCGTCTGTATGGTGTGTGTTTTTTTTTTAATAGAACTTAGATTTCGGGGGGGGGGGGGGGGAATGCATTAGTTTTTCAGAAAATAGACTGTTTGAAATAATGGACAAAGCTACGATGACAGCCTCCATTGGTTTGTGGTCTGCTGTTTGGAAGCCTCAATCAAGTTCAGCAGTTTGGCCAACACCGTCTTGGTTTTGGTGACTATGCTTGGACAAGAGGTTGAAGCTGTGGAGGAGCGAGGGGGGGATCTGACTCACAGACCGTAGCGGTACCTCACAGACAGTCTGTCACTTAAGCGGTCATACCCTTAAATATCCGTAACTTTGAGCCTTAATAAAATATAAAGGCGTGGGTTATATGAAAATTCACCCCCCGGTACAGTTGTCATGAATGTTAAAATTAGCTATAGGGGTGAAAACTGTTTCGTGTATCACACTGTGAACATTTATTTCTGCTTTGAAGTTTGGCATTTTAACATAGGGGTCTATGGGGATTTACTCTATTTTGAAGTCAGCCTCAAGTGGCCATTTGATGAACTGCAGTTTTTGGCACTTGCGCATTGGCTTTGTTTTTCAGCCTTGGAGGTTGCTACCCTGGAAATCCAGAGTTCTCGCGAGAGCACAATTTGAATTTGCTCAGTGAGTCACTCTGGCAATCAGTAATGATGCTCATTACCTATGCCCATGAAACCGAGCTGCACCAATCACATCAGTCTATCTGATACAGGCGGGCCAGAGGCGAGCTAAACAGATGACGACAGCGCTGCGACAATGAAGTCCGGAATCAGTCAGTAAACATTGCAAGATGGCTACGGATGAACACCAGTTGTTTGAAACGGCTTTGGGCGCTACAATGAACGAGTTAGACTTGGCTTTTTCTCTAAAAGAGGAACAGAAGACGGCGCTCGAGTCTTTCCTTTGCAAGAAGGACGTTTTTGCTGTTTTGCCGACCGGATACGGCAAGAGTCTAATCGACCAGTTAGCTCTGCTGGTAGCTAAGCGTATACGTCACCCCGTGTATTGTTCTGATTGGTCATATTGTTATCCAATTGCGTGCAGTGATATTTACAAATGCGTGCTTGAGTTGGGCCATTTTAATTACTCATGGCCAGACCCTAAATCTTTCTAGATTTGGGTCTGGATTTCCAGGCTAGGAGGTTGCCACTTGGTTAGAACAACACACGACCATGAATCACTTTTTGAGGTAATATATAACAGTTCAGGCCATCACATTGATAAAGAAACTTCGCACAAAAACAATAAATATGGTGCATGAAAGAAAAATGTCTAAAGTGAGGAGCAAAATGCATGTTTTCACATTGATATGTTACAAAGTAGGCAAAAATAAACTTTTTTAATATATTAAAAAGAAAAACCCAGAGGGAGCTCAAGATTTCAAAATGTATTTACCCTCACAATGTTTTGATTACACGCTCTAAGTTCCACTTAAAAGATGCTGTTAACACTTTTAAAGATTTTACACAAATTTGGGAAATTCTTATTTTGTAAGTCATTCTTACTAATCTATTCAGTCTCAAAGTAATTTGCTACAGCATATAAACACAATTCCAACTTCAGTAGTTTCAGAATTACACACACTAGTGAGTTTCTCTTGAGTTTTCTTTTTAATATAACGTTAGTTTTCAGACTGAAAAGTAGAGGGGTCCAACACTTACTTCTGAAAAAAGTGCAGGGGGCATGTTCCCTGTGTCCCCCCTGTAAATTACACCCCTGCTACAAGACATATCATAAGCAACACAAGCAGTGAACACCATGGCTAAGTGTTTTCACCTCTGAACTGCAGTGTTCCAATGACAGTCTCATAAATACGGATTCTGACTTCAATCCTGTAACATTACTGCAAACAAGAGGAATCAGGAGAAGACAGGTTGTGTATCGGCATTTTTTGCTCAGTTTTAACTTGTCAGAGGTGGTGATCAGGAACAAGGTTTATCTGATGTTAGCAACACGTTATTAGCAGTTTGATAACGTGGTCAAGCTGAAGACTTATGTTATCTTTTACCGTCTACAAGCAGAGGTTTGTGTGTTTGATGAGCAGAGTTGAAGGTGAGCAGGTACGCCCGAGCTGCAGGCCAGCGGCTGAGGGGCGGGGCTAATTTGTATTCATAGATTTGCACATACTAAATGAGGAAAAGGTGTAGAGATACATCTTAGTCATTTTAAGGCATTAAGGGGTTTTTATTCATGAAAAAAAAACAAACTTCTAAATGTGTAATTTTGATGAACAGAGATGAGTTTTTAGGGGTTTAGTCAGTGCCCGGAGAGGAACTTTAAAGGTAAAGATGAGTACATGTCACACATGTAGCTGCCTGTGGGAAGGATTCAGCTATGGGCAAATCTCTCTCCCCTATTAACACATTTGCTGTACTGAATGGACGATGTATTATTAATGCAGTGGCTTCATTTAATTGGGAAATCACACAGTGCAACCAGACTGTTCCTTGGGAAATGTGAAAAATGACGATTAAATTATATCTCAAATTCATTAATTCCCATTCCTGTTTGCTCATTGTGGCTCTTTTCTGTAGAATGCTAAAATATTTAATCAGCTCACATGGGAGTCTTTGTTTTTGTCTTTAAAGTGAATTACCTTTGTAACATGCAAGGCGTTCAGAGCCACATTTCTTCCTGTTTGCTGCCTTGTATTATTCTTTTTTTCAGGATCCCTGTAGTTCTATGTGTGCCCACTGAATCAGGCCCAGTGCTTTAATGTCTTGCCATTCTAACTGTGTCTTTGCAGAGGGCAGGGCAAAACTGGGATATGCATAATGTATTGGCTTGTGGCATGTTGAGGTGGCAGGCTTTGTCCAATTACCTGCACCGAAAGCCAATTAGTATGTGAGGGAAGGAGGATGATGAGGGGTTAAGGTTTAAGGGGGTGATAATGATGAAGCTGGTGCCGATGGGGTTTGGCCCTGCGCGCCACTGATTTCGAGACAACCCTTCCCCGCGCCCGCGCCTGCGGTGCTCCAACGGCTCCTCTCGGACATCCATAGATCATTAATCTAATTGGCTGGTTGCCGAGGGGATCTGAGACAGTTATGGACTGTTTTAATGGTAAATGGTATTGAAGACCGAGCTCTCTACCCTAACAACGCAGGGATGATAACAAAGCACACTCTATCAAGGAGCTGTATTCCATGTGTCTGCTTCTTCCATTGATTTCAAGGCTCGTGTTTTGCATGATTGCTAGCTGTTGGTTGCTCTGCTCTCTGCATGCCCAAAATTTCCTTCCATTTCTGCCTCTTCCTGGCTTTGTCCTGTTAAACTTAAATGACATCTTTTTATTCATGACTGTCCCTATTCCATGAATACTAATTTGAAAGGCTGGATAAGTGGAAGCAATATGGTGGGAAACCTTGCCTGCCCTCTCAAACTAGTGTTCATTAAAATGAAGAAGAGGTCATTTGGGTTCACACAGGCTCATTTCTTAATGATGTTTATAATGCCAAGCTCCTCACACACTAATAGAGCTCGTGCGCGATTGTAAGGGGCTCCTAACCTTCCCTGTCTTTCACTCCTATCTCCTGTCTGCGTGAAGTTGTGGCTATGTATGAGAATGTTCTTAAGTGTCCTACGCCTGGCTGCACGGGACGTGGCCATGTCAATAGCAACAGAAACTCCCACAGAAGGTAAGTGACAGCCTGCCCATGTGAAACTGGCACTGTCCATGTTGCATCCTCCGTTTTTCACTGTGGGACTTTTTTTTAATGATGTATTCTGAAATAATTTTTGTCATCCTCATCTTTTTGTTTAGTTATTCTCAAACCCATTCTTTTTGTCTTTGCAACACATTATTTGTGTGTGTGTGTGGATACGTTTAGTCTTACAATTTTTGGTATAACGGAATAATTAAAGTAGTTCAGCTGCTCAACAATCCTGTGGTTTAACTGAGTCTGATTAGAATGCAGCAATTCACACCTTCCATGGCATAAATCATTTATCAGCTCATGGTGAAAAAATGGCATCTATCAGGTGCAGGTTTGGAGGGAGAAACTGAAATAGCAGGGCACCATTGCCAGTGCTGTCAGACGGGGCGAGGTGACAGTGAAAGAGGAGTGTCACCCACAGCAGATGCTCAGGGAGTCGGGCATAGCAGCAGCCATTAGCACCTTTCTGCCACTCAGCCAGGGTGACAGGAGAGGTGCAGACCTGGGAGGACCAGAATGCCTCCATGCTGTGCTCAGTGACACGGCTGCAGCGCAAAATAGGCACGCACATGGACAAACTTTCACTTTTACTAGAAAGAGCTGATATAAACCTCCGTACTGCCGCACACTTCCCAACCTGATACACACTCTTATACCTGCACACAGTCATGCACATCTGATGACAGGTGCTCATGAACACAACTCTATACTGGCTTCAGGCCATTGTCAAAGATAATTTTTTCACTGCGGCCCAGCACACCACAGTTGACAGACTGGATGGAGTATAATAGGGGTTAAGGATAACAACATGAACTTTTGTCACATTTGGTCAGTTAGTTGTCAGGAGGAAGTTTTACAGCCGTAGATGATATTGGAGCATGTTGAAGGTGATGTAGATCCCAAGTGTATGTGAGTGTATGTCTTGTCAGCATGTGTGTGAAGGAAACAATTTTTTTTATGTGCATTTGTCCAAATGAGAATATCTATTCAAAGTGGGAATATCTATTCAAAGAATTATTTCAAGCCATTCAACGAGAAATATGCAGGCTGTTGCCAATTGTAATTGAAATTTTTGTATTTCAAACGAATACTTTATGAACTATAGTCAGGTATTTTCAAATGTGTAGACATTTAACATTATGTGCAATGTGCATTCAATGTAACATTTTCACTTACCAAAATGTGTCTCAGATTCAAGTTCCAAAATGCAACTTAAGTGGCTTTCTCATTTCAGTCTGTCAGGATGTCCCATTGCTGCAGCTGAGAAGCTGGCCAAAGCCCAGGAGAAGCACCAGGGCTGCGACGGCCCCAAGTCCAACCAGGCCTCTGACCGAGTCTTAAGGTAGTATTCACTCTTCACTTTCACATATATCATAAATGTTGAAATTCTCTGTTGGAGCAGCACAATTGCCGGTATAAAATGTTGGCATCATACATTTCTGCAAACCACATATGTTGCATTTGTTATTTTATGTCATATCAACATTTCTAAAGTAATATAGTTCAGATTACATTCATATGAGCTGAGTTTCTTACCAGAAGGGGGGAGGGGATAGTGGGTGGCATCAGGCCTAGGCGAGATAGCTGCCAAGCAGCTGACCACTGTTCAAGACTAGACACATTTCCAGCAGTGTTTTTGGTGACAATAACAGGTATTGTTTTCATGAGATGTCCAGGCATTTTTTTTGCCATGTTTTTGGCGACCAAACCAGTTATTTTTTAACTAGACGTCTGGGCATTTCCAGCCATGTTTTGGCGACATCCAGGTGCTTTGTAACTAGATGTCAGGACATCTCCAGCTGTGTTTTTGGCGACAAAACTGGGTATTTTTAACAACAAATTAGGACAGTTTCAGACATGTTTTTGGAAACCAAATCAGGTATTTTTTGACAAAACATGGGGACATTTCCAGCCTTGTTTGTAGCCACCAAACTGGGCATTTCAAGCCAAAACGTGATTTTTTTTTTTTCCTAACCCTAGCCAAGTCTTTTTTGTGCCTAAATCTAACCACACTTTAACCACAGTTGTCACAACAACAAAAAATGAAAATTGAAATGTCAAGAAACGTGAAGTTTCAAAACATCCACTACATTTGAAATTTTAACATATCCATGGTTTGCAAAAGTGTTCAATGCCAACATTTTCTGCCATTTAGGTTGGTTGAACGTAGCCAAAATATGGGATGGAAAGCACATAGCATAGGTACATTTTGTTCTACAGCCAGCTCCTAGTGCATAATCAATCAATATGTTGTCTGCTGTCACAAGGTGTTAGATATAAAATGTCAGAAAGGTCAGACACTAAAAGGCATGCAAATGTGTATTTTATATTAAGGTGTACTGGCTGTAATGCGATGTAATACTTATTATGTAGAGAACTGCTATTCAGTCATGTTGGAAGGTTCTTTTGTTCTGCATTTTGTGAAGCGATTGAGATTTTAAGTCTCCCCTTTTTGTTTTATGTTTATGTTCTTTTGTCCCCTGAGAATACTTCCAAGAGACTGCATGTTCATTTCTGTGCTCACTATTGAAGGCAAATCGTTTTATTAGATTCTAACAAAATTGGCCTCATTTATCATGGCGAAGGCAGAGCTTTTTGAATGAGGGTTTCTTTGATAGTCATGAAAATGCTATGATGAAAAGTCATAAGTAATAGTAAAATTTATATTTATATCTAAATGGAACATCAACAGCACACGATCTTACATTTCATTTCTTCCTGGGCTTAGATTGAGGATATAAATGCATATCAAATGATAAAAGCACATCAAAAGTATCCAAGTGTAATAAAAGAAATGCAGAAATTCAATTTTGACTGTTTTTATTGACCAGGCATGAAAAACACTTGTAGCACTTGTATTTTTTTGTAACGCAAGAGGAAGAAAACATCCATGCCATGGTGTATAAAAAGGACACCCCACACCCTAAATCACCCCACCTTTACCATCCACCAGCATCATCCTCCATATTCTAATCCTGGAGTATTACCATAACAGTCTGCCCCTTCCTTGCATCTGCCCATTTTTTAACCAAACCCCAAGTTCCCTCTCCTTCCCCTGGGCAATGTTGAGTGCCTCGGTCCAACTTCCACCCCCTCGTCATTTATTTTCCAGGCCTATGTGCTTTGTCAAACAACTGGACTATCCACAGTATGGTTACAAGAACAATGTTTCCACCAGCACGCCCCGCTCCAACCTGGCCAAGGAGCTGGAGAAGTACTCCAAGACCAGCTTCGACTACAGCGCCTTCGACGGCAGTAACAACCACCAAGTGTATGGGAAACGGGCCATCGCACCCAAAGTTCACGGACAAAGAGACACCTCCCCCAAAGGATATGACGGTACTACATCACTGCAAGTTAAAATTGGCTACATTTATTTCCCCCAGACATTCCCATGTCAACTTTTTCATTTCTCCTGTCGTGAATTTACTGTTCATCACAAGATTATGACAAAATTCCATTGAGCTGTATCAAGCGTATCAAGCAGAAATATTTTGTAGAATCTTTTAATGTGGTGTTTTATTTTAAATTTAAACAGTACAAATTAAAATACCAAATCTAATAGACTTTTTTCCAAGGCTTTTGTTTTATGCATCTAAAAACCATAAAAGGTGGAGAAGGCAGTCATCTTCTTAAATTAGTTCATGATCTGCAGACTTTGGCGCAGGTTTGCAGGTTAACTTCTGACATACACCAACATGAACACACTTCATCAGAGATATACTGATGGATAAACCCACCTAGATAATTTATTCACCTTTATGAATGGAAAAACAATATACCTGCCTTTTAAGGCACCTAAATCTATATAATACATCAATGCAAGTATTTATCAAAATGCAGAAGTCTTTTTTTTTTTTTTTTCATTTTGAATTTCTTTACCGCGACTCACAGCCAAACGTTACTGCAAGAACTCCAGCTCGGCCAGCAGCACCACCAGCACCTACGCTCCCAGCAGTAGCAGCAGCAGCCTGAGCTGTGGGGGTGGAGGAGGGGGCGCAGGAGGAGGCAGAGGGGGCGGGGGCAGCAGCGCCAGCAGCACCTGCAGCAAGAGCAGCTTCGACTACAGTCACGACATGGAGGCCGCCCACATGGCAGCCACGGCCATCCTCAACCTGTCCACGCGCTGCCGGGAGATGCCCCACGGCATGGGGGGGAAGCCCCAGGACCTGTGCTCGCAGGTAGGAGGGGAAGGAAGGCTTAATAATTCCAGGGTGTCTCCAGGTCCTTAGAAAGTCCTGAAATTCAGTTTGATAAATATTAGGTCGTTAACTAGTCTTAGACTTAAATTTGTAATTGCCACAAACAAATTTATCTTATTTAATTTCTTTTTGTCGAAATTAGTCGAGCTCTTTCTGATGTTACAAGTCTTTTAACGCACCACTGAACTTTACTTTATACTTGCACTCACCTGTTGGCAAATGTAGTTCAACCTGTCTCACTCGAATAACCATATTCCTATGTAAAATCTACATCTGCACAGGACCACATATATACTACTTACCTTTATACCTGCAATGCTTGAAAAACAAAAAGATGATTTGTCCAAAAATCAGTCTGTATTTGGTCGATTTGCTACATTTGGTTTAAAAACTATCTTGAAAGGGTTTTTAAAAAGCATTAAAGTGTCCGGTACCTGTAGACACCCTGATTCATATTGTATATTCTGTCACCCAAATGCCAAACAATGACACGCTGTGAGATCAACTGGTGCATTCTGGTGAGTTTTTGGTTTGGTTGAGCAGGGCGCTCTTATATTTAAAATGAAAGGAAGTTACAAGCATCCCCTGATTTGACACTGCAGCCTCACATGACTCTGTACTCACTTCACCTTTGTAAGACTTTGGCCTCCTGCTGCAGTCACAACAAAATCCACTGACAGATTATCTCTGTGCTTCCTTCATTATACTAATGCTGGCAGTGAGAACTGACAAAGATAGGGAGATTTGAGCTGCGCACACCACACGTACACACACACTCACACACCCACACACACACACACACATTCCATTAAAGATCCGGGGCTGTGTCTTACACTCAGGGCTCAGCAGGGCAGTTTTTTATTTTCCGTCTGGGGATCAGATAGGAGCAGGACGAAGCGCCGTTTGACACGGCGTGAGCCCAGTGTGTCATTTCTGAGGAGATAAGGTGACGGTGTTTCTGTATTATCTGAGCCCAGATGCTGAGCTGGAAAATGGGGGCCAGAAAGAGAGCGCACAGCAGAGGGCTAATGCTGGCTTAATGCTAATGTTGACAGCGGAGACTGCCAGAGAATGAGAGTGAGGGTGTTAGAATTGAAAATAAAGAATGAGAGCAAAGAAAGCCTTTTTGGCGGGAGGCGTCTAAATGTCACAATGCAGGAAGAGGGGAGAGGAGGATGCAGGAGAGGAGAAAGGTACTGAGGAAAAAGAGGGGAGAGCAGAGGAAAAGAAAAGGGAAGAATGAAAGCCAAAAGCAACATACTTCCAAAGAAAAGTGGAACGGAATAAACTTGGCGGGAACAAACGCCCGAAGCAGTCAGGACTTCCTCTGGTCCTACCTCATTTCATTGTCTGTCCTTCTGCTTCGGGGCCAGACAAGCAGGATGCTCTCAGGGCAGGATGGGAAGACGGGAGACTTCAGAGGAGGGTTTTTTTTTCTTCTTCTTTCTCTTTCATCTCAACACCTCACCTCGTGGCGCACACTGTTCCTTTCTATGTCTGAATGAAACTTCACACACACACACACACATCTATTCTCGCCTCCTTGTTTTTTCAGCCTGTCTATCCGCCTGTTTCTATTTCTCTCATTCTGCTCGTTGAATTTATTCAGCCAAAGTGTAATTTTCTCCTCTAAACCTCTGAGATTGTTTCATTTGAATAACTGATCAAGGCCTGAAGAGGTAAAACTCACCAGGATTTTACAAAAACTAAGCATGGATTGTAGAATAACCTGGAAGAAAATCTAAAGTTGAGTAGCAGAACAATATTTTTCTTCCCTCCTGTCTCAGTAATCATAATCAAATCATCAAATCTCAGGTGTGGAACCAATGGTCTGTGGAGTCAGGCAGCTGCATTTAGCATTTAAATTACTATACATGTGTTTCTGCATAAATTAGCCATTTTACTACAAATCATGAACACTGTATACTTAACATTAATACCATTTCTAAACCATACCATACTGTAGTTGTTTCTGTCTTCCAGGCAGGTACTTGTACATGTACCACTTCAAATTCCAGAGACTCCAAACATGCTCGAGATAACTGATGAATCACAATAAGCTTCATATCTGTGATATACTTTGCCTTTAGTTTTGTCAAATTGTTATTGGATTGGGTCCCAATGACAGATTTTACTCATACTTGTCTGAGTCACAAGGAGAACTTGCTCCAGCTCATTTGATTTCATTGCTTGCTTTTACATTCAGTGTCTGACACACGCAGTAAACAAAGGTACACTGTTGTAACATACACACAATATTATTCCTCCTTACAGTATTGCATGTCAGGTCTTAATATGATCCTTTTCATGTTAACAAGATAATTTTCATGCTATTAAATATTTTTCGTCATTACTAGATACCAAACAATTCAGTTTTTATTGGAAACTTTTCTTGTCTGCTGGTGCAGACAACACGCAATGATATAACAAGATAGTGACATTTTGCTATAAAAAAATATCTTGTATAAGTCTTGACGGATCTTGTAAAAATGAGAAAATGTTCTCAGTATAGCGAGAAATAAAACAGAATTTTATTTGTCATGTGCAGCAATATGCTGCCATATGAATTTCAAACGCCTAATAAGGATGTTATTGATGTTATGACTTTGTAGAATGTTAAGAAAAGATTTTAACATTAGGCTAAGAAGAACAAACTATTAGACCTTTGGATTTCCCTGAGCAAAGCTGGTACTGATTCCATGGACATCCTAACATCCATAACACAAAATAAGATAGTATTTGTGTCAGAGTACTGTCAAACTGCACTCAAAGGTATAAACAGGCATTCAAGAATGTTTGCTAAAAGGACAGTTCACCCCAAAATCAAAAAAACAGATTTGTCCTCTTACCTGTAGTGCTATTTATCAGTCTAGATTGTTTTGGTGTTAGTTGCTGAGTGTTGGAAATATCAGCGTAGAGATGTCTGCTGTCTCTCTAATATAATAGAACTAGATGGCACTCGGCTTGTGGTGCTCAACACACCCAAAATATAATTTTGAAAAACTCAGAGGCAGTGTCTCTCTCCAGAAATCATGACCCTGTTACTCAAGATAATCCACAGACCTTGTTTTGAGCAGTTTCATGTAGGAACGATTTGCTTTCTGCTGAACTACGCCCTCCAACTGTATCACGGCACAGAAGGAAGTGTCCATCTATTGCTAGCTCATCTAGCACCACTGAACTCAGCTGAAGTGCACGCCCTTTAAGTTTACATCTCGCACTGTCACAAGCAGAAGCCTGTGGTCCTTGAGTAGATGCACGCTTCCTTCTGCATGGTGATTTAAGTTGGTCTTACTCCAAAGTCGTCGAAATCTGGTGCTTGGGCAGTGACTTGTGAGGTCAGACGCTAACGTAAAAAGCCATCCTTTAATGTTGGCAGGATACGCTGCCAGTTGCGGTTATACTTTAGGGCAGGTGGGAGGGGTTGTGAATGGGTCCAACAAACACCAACCTTCACCCAAGAGACCATCCCATAAGATTGTAAAGCCAAACCCTGTTCTTTTTTCCTAAACCCAACCACTTTGCGATGCGTTGTTGGAGGGAAAAAAAAACGTCAATTCGTGTTGTTGTACTGACGAAGTGGAATTATTTTGAAAGAAGACAATGCATGAAACAGGCACAACTTGACACGGTGTCCCGGAATGTCAACAACCAATGCAACAAGGGTATCTTTCACGTTGTGTCCGGACATGGAAGGTCCATGACCAAACATTGATATGTGACAAGGTCGGACTGAGAATGTGTTGGGTGATACGGTTGGCAAGTGTAGTTTGGTAGACAGAAAATAGTTCCTCCATGACACTGCTTACAAGGTCTGTGGATTATCTTGAGTAACCTGGTCATGATTTCTGGAAAGAGACACTGATGTTGAGTTTTTCAAATGTATTTTTTGGGCACTTTGAGCACCACAAGCCGAGTGCCATCTAGCTCCATTGTATTGGAGAGAAGGCAGACATCTCTACGGCTGATACCTCTAACACTCGGCAACTCACACTAGAACAATCTAGATTGATAAATAGCACTACAGATAATTGGAGAAATATGTGTTTTTGATTTTAGGGTGAACTGTCTCTTTAAAAATAAAAACAAAACAAAATTTTTGAACGATAAAGAGGAGGAAGGAGATGGTGAGCACAGTAAGAGAAAGGCTTAACGGAGTAAAGAAAAGGCCAGAGAGGAGAACAGGACATGATGCTGGTTTTATTTTAAGACCTGGAATAGGTGGGCAGAAGTAATGTGGTGAGAATAAGCAAGTGACCTCTCACGCTCTGGCCCTCTTCCTCCCAGCATCTCCATGGCAACAGAGGTCAGGGGTAACAGGAGGGCCAGAGCGAGAAAGGGGTGGTCTCTAATGAAGGAGGTGGGGTGCATTCTCACACATCATCCTTGTTAATGCGATATGAAGGGGTGGGTCATGTTAATTGGACAGTGACATACAATACAATGGCTGATAAGGAGAGGGCTGAGCATATTCACAAGGACACGATGAGGCATCGGATCTACTCCTCAGCAACTTGACCTTTATTTTACACAGACTGTTTCTATTGTTCTTACAGCCCTTTACTCATCACCTGCCTCCTTCTCTCTTTTCCCAGCTCCTAGCCAAACCTGCAGTTGAACTTTTACTCGAGTTTAAACAGTGAGCGTGTGCTTGATAGAAGCAGACACCTACATCATGGAATAATGTCAGCTGACAGTTGTGTAGACAGGTGTTATTGTAAAAGCTCAGCTTGTGCTGTGTCTGCTAAGCCTCATAATGAACAGCCTTTGTATTTAACACCCCATCATCTCTGTGTTTGTCTTTCATGATATCCAACTTTTTTTATAGTGCCTTTTATTATTCATGGTGAGATATTTTTCTCCACAGACTAATGACCCAGCGGTAATAGTGTTTTTCGGCCCCTTTTTTTCCCTACTATTTTTAAGTCCTCAGTTCAGCCACAGTTCTTGAAATATTCAAGCCCAGTCTCAAATCTATCACCCCGTGTGTTTGAGTCAGTGTGCGTCACAGAGGTTTTGGCTTCAGACACCAGGAGAATCCACCCCTAGGGACACTGTCGGCCGGAATCAACATTAGCGCAGGCTTTCCTACTTGTGAAAGGGAGGAAGGAGGATGAAGAGGAGAGGGGGAGATGAGAGAAGGAAGTCAGGGAGAGGGATGTTAATGAGAGCAAGGACACAAACACATGCCTGCCAAAACATAAGCCTCACGGGAATGGGACTTTTTTGGTATATACTGTACAGTATGTTTCAAATGTAGATTAAAGTAAAGGCATGTGTGCTTAGATGTATAGATACAAACTAAACCCAGAAGGCAAAGTGGATGCTTTGGTGAGCAGTCAGTCTTGTTGGATGTGGCCCACTTTGTTCCAGAACACAGTATAGTTCTGCCTCTATTTTTGGGATTGCAGCAGTCTAGTTCCAGCCACCGCTGCTCATCACTGCTCTCAACCCCACCCCTAACCCTCAGCCCCGGCCTGCCCCCCTGTGATGTCCACTCACATTAGGCTCACACACACACACACATACAACACAAAGTCATGCACACGCACCCTTCTGACTGCACAGAACACAGTAGAGACCATAGCGGGATGGAAGGAAAGAGAGAAAGAGAAAAAGGAGGGGTTCACAGAGGGATGCACTCGTCCTTGAGCACTGATGACCTCTTCTTCTTTTGACCCTCTTATGAGCGTCACACTTCATCACTACTGTACACTGCAAGTGTCTAATATTTCATCCAAGACAGACTTGGGCAAAAAAATAATAAATTGGAATATTGTTTCAGGTATTTGAACTGCAGGTGTTCTTGATCCATCTTTCCAGAAATCTGAAAACTTCAAAAGTGAGCACATCACTGGAGGAGCAGAAAATTCAAGCACTTTTCATGTACTTCTTTAGTATTCACCATGTATTCAGCTACTGTTTTGCCCAGCTCTGATCCGAGAATATGGATATGTTTGACTGCTATTTAATTCAGAAACTCTCACTCTCTTTTATCCCCTTCTCTCCATCCCTGCCTCCTTATGTTCTGTGCATCCTTTTACCCTTCCTCATAATCATCTCACTGAAAACACGCAACACACACACACACACACACACACACACACCCATCTCCTCCACATATACTGACTTTACCCCACACACACGTATGCATGCACAAAAACCACATCCACTTTCCAGAGCCCCGGTCTAGATGTTGATGAGAACGGTACGTTGGACCTGAGTATGAGCAAGCGTCTGTGCAGTGGTGGCGGAGGGGACTCGGTGCTCACACCTCTAGAGCCCATGTCCCCCCAGAGGCAAGCTGCCCTGCTGGGCTCCCGCTGCTACGGCATGGGGGACGCTGCTGACTGCTGGGACCTGCCTGTAGACTACACCAAGATCAAACACATAGACGAGGACGAGAAAGAGGTAAAGGAGAAAATTACAAGGACAATGCTGGAAATTCATTTGACCACTGATGTCTGGTTGTGGCCAGATATATACATGTGTATGCTATGTATCACTTTTTCAGGAAGAAGGGTAGATTGCTGGCTGAACTTAAACACTCAGTATCTTTTAAATGTAGCCTGTCAAGGTTGAGTCACCTTAAAAGTATTATAAAGTGTGCTATATAAAGCATAACAGTGTGTCATCTTTGTTATTCATACAGATACAGATTTTTAACCTTTAAAGCAACCTAGTCAACACAAGAAAATGTTGGCGTTGTACGTTTCTACAAACTATGACTGTTACATTTGTATACGTCAAACATATACCAGCGTTTCTAAAGTGACGAAGTATATGAGCTGATTTTGTCATGCGGAGGTGGAGAGGATGGTGGATAGGGTGTAACATAGGCAAGACACCTGCCAGGCTGCAGAGCACTGCAGAAAGCTGTTTAAAACCAACAAAACCAGTTGTTTTTTAAGGAGTCAATTTTTTTATGCTTTTTAGACATCTAATGTGGGTGTTTTTTGGTGACCCGTCGCTGTGTTTCCAGTGTTTTTTTTTTAGCCCCCAAACGTGAGTGGTTTTTAGCAACCTGTGGCTGTTTTCCAGTGGCTTAATGGCTCCCATATGTGGCTGTTTCTAACAACCCATTGCTGTGTTTCCAGCAGCTTTTTTGGCACCAAACGTGGGTGTTTTGTAGCGACCCATCGCTGTGTTTCCAGCAGGAATAGTGGCACAAAGAACTGTCGTTTTTTGCTGAAACATGGCTCCTTTTCCTGACAGCATTTTGCTCCCTAAAACCAGGTATTTTAAGCAAAAACCTGATCTTTTCCAAATGATAACCAAGTGTTTTTTCTGCCTTAACAAACCTACACATTAACCAGTGTTGTTGGAACATTAAGTTTCAATGTATCTGCTACATAATAGGTGTAAATGTAACATATCCCTTTGCAGAAATGTATAATGCCAACCTTTATTCTGGCAACTGGGTTACATAAGGCTGCTATCCTCTCTGCCTCCGAATATTCCATCACATATTCAGTTTCCTTCAAGATGTTCAGGACGATACCAGGATCGAGACAGAAATGATGACGTGTGATGAAGAGAAGAATAAAAGAGAGAGATGTGATGTTGATGATGATTATAAAACACAAGTATATGATAGTTTGTGGTTTTGGAAGCTGATAGACAGTACAGTTGGCATGCGTTACTTCTACTGTCTGTTCAATGTGTCTCAGCCCAAATTATTTCCCTCCAAGCCATTGATTCAACACAGTGTCTCCAAGTCAAACATTTGCATTGCCGCCTGATTGTCTTCTAGGTTTCTTACCTCCCCGTCTTACTCACTGTTTGGAATCATTAGAAAGTCATATTAGGGATTTTTGAGGGAAACCTAATGAATCTGCATGTTAATTGATGTCAGCATTGCCATGCACAGAGGTATCTGCTCTGTTTGTATCATGCTCCCCGCATGCTGGCTTTCTGTTTTTACATTTCGCTCTTCTCCAAAATGAATTATGCAAAGTAGCACCTTGGGAGGGAATCGGAATAGCTCATCTCATCAAAGAACTGCTGGAAATCAATGCACCACTGCTGGGTGCGCCTGTCGGTGTGTGTGTACAGGCGCATGCATGTGCAGTACATGCGCCTCTGTTTTTGGTGTGTGTGTGTGTGTGAGATGTGAATATTCATATGAGCGTGTGTACCCATGTCTCTTTGGGAGTGTGTCTGCGTGTATATGCAAGTTCCATCCCTAGCCTACTTTCTGCATCTCTGTATGTATGCATGTGTCGCTCTCCTTCCTGTCTGCCTCTCAGCCTGTGCTCCCTTTAATTGGAGAAGCTCGCTGGCTGACCCAGCATCACGCACTCCGAGACAGCTTGAGCGCCGGATAATTTGGGCTGTATCTGGACCTGTCTCTTTATGGGCATTACTGTACATACACTGCGAGCATGGAAGAAAGGAAAGAGGATTTGCATCAACAGCCGTCGTGCCCTGGCTGCATGCACTGCAGACAAAGCACAGCCCCACATAACACAGCCAACAGTGGTCTGACCCTACACCGCAGTGCCATCTTGTGACTGACTGGTGCATTGCGAGTAAAGAACGAGCCAACTCCCTGAATGTTCTGTTCTCGCACGCACACAGGAATACTCTATGAACATGTGCAAACCCACAAATGAGCTCTCACACACACACACACACACACTGTTCATTTGGCACTGACTGATTATTTCCTCCCAGAGATTCTATTTTTGAGCTCTGTTAGACTGACAGGTGAGGCTCAATTGTCACACAGGCTCAACCATTAGCATTCAAATTGATAAGACTCTATGGTCTGACAGGTGTGCGTGTGTTTTGTGTGTGTGTGTGTGTGAGGAAAAAGACAACTGGAAGATATGAGTTTTCATCATGTGCCAGTAAATAAAATGTACTGCTGGGCAATATATCATTGTGAGATGAGACTGGATATTGTCTTAGATCTTGAATATTGTAAGTATTTTCCTAGTTTTAAATGTCCAGTTTGCAGAATTTAGTGGCATCTAGCAGTGAGATTGCAGATTGCCTGTAGGAGAACTACAGTGGCCGACACGAAAATGCAATGGCCCAGCTTGAGCCTGGCTATTACCGTGAGCCGAATTATCCAAGATCTCCTACTCTCCAAAACAAACGAACCCAGTAATTGAAACCAATAAAAAACCGAATAAAGCAGTTTCACATTACGAATCAGACGTTCCCTGAAGCTGTTCGGCATGTCGGAGACGGGTCACTTGCCCAGCACCTGCTAATCTGTACTTGCCTTTTTTCTCTTATAACTTAAGATCCAAACATTCAGGAGGTTTTTACTGGGAGCCGAAGTAACTGCAGAGGTCTCTTCCTGTCCAAAACAAATGGGCCTGGTGATTAAATTCAAATCACCAATGGCACTGTCAAGAGTCAGTGTTTAGTTTGTCCGTCTTCATCTCTCTTTTTCCCCTTTCCTTGCCTGTCTCCCTCCTCCCCTTTTTCTCCTCCCTTCCCTCGGCTCTCACCCAATCTCAGCCGGATGATCTGGACCCCTTCCATGACCTGCTGGAGGACCGCTCCTACACCACAGATGTGAACATGCCCAGCCCCAAACCCAAGTATGTCCAGTGCAAGGAGAGTAAGAAGGACCTGATAACGTAAGAGCCCCCCTACTCTCACTAACGCCCCAGTGTTCCCCCTATCCACCTCACCCTACTTGCCTTTCCCAACTCATGCTCTGCTTCCCCCCACCCCCTCACCTTATTCTTTTCTTTTGTTTTCATCCCTCTCTTTGCTCCAGTTGACCTCAGACAACCTTTCTCTCTCCCTTCCCCATCCTGTGCTGCCAGCTTTGCTATATGACTTTTATTTACATCTTTATCCATTTGTCCACACTGATCTCAGAGGTGGTAGCTTCTACTGATGCCTTCACTGCAGTTTTCTCTCCTTTGATGCTTTATCTTTATAAGACACAACACTAGTTGTCAGTATTATGCCATATCAAGTGTAGCTGTATCTCAGGAGTCACAATATTAATCACAGACAGTGAAGCTAAACTGGAAACAATGAAAACCAACAATGAAAAAAAAGAAAATCAGAAACAACCCCCTTTTTCTGTAATTTTCACATTTTCTTCTCCTTCCCTTTGGGCTTATAAATCTATCTATTTTTCCGGTGGCAGATGTCCCACACCGGGGTGTGATGGAAGTGGTCACTTGACGAGCAATTTCGCCTCACATCGAAGGTGTGACTTCCTTTTCTCCTGGTGGATTCTAAGTCTATTTCTCTTTATTGTTTTCAGCTTACCTCGACTATGCTGTCAAACACCTGTAGGCAGAATGTCTCTCTTTCTCTCTTATTTGTTAGCCCTTTGACTATTGGCAACTTGACATCCTGAAATAAGGGTATCATGAAATAAAGAGACTAATTTAATTAAAGATTGGATACATGCTAATTTTTAAGCTGAACCCTGGGATAAAATTATTTCTCAATGGGCCGGGTGTAAAGCCTTCTAAGCTGATGTTATTCAGTCCTCCAGGCCCTTCCAACAGTGCAATGCAGACTAAGCATTTACCATTCACAGTAAGAAGACTTAAGCAGAATTGTTGAGTGTTGCCATGTGAGGTGAGTCTGCAAGGGCTGAATGATATCAGTGCAGAGGCTGCACATGGCTGCAAGTACATAAGATTTCCCCTGAAAAAGCTCATGATTCCAACTAGTCTTTGGAAACAACCCCATGTCTTCATTTTAATTCACCCAGTCCTGTTTGAACACACAGTGCACCAAAACAAGACTTCCTTGTTGTTACAAATACAAATACTCAGAGGGTTAACTTAATTAAATCAACTCCCTGCACTTGCATCATGGCTTTTTTGCATTTCCTGGTTGATGTTTTATGTATGCATGTGTTTGTGTATGTCTGAGTGTAGAGACGAGTGTGGTCTGAGAGATTATTTTGTGTTACAGTGGTTGGGGGTGACTTGTCATTCTGGTGTAACTAATGTTCCACTGGTGTATTTTTCAGTCTCTCAGGTTGTCCTTTAGCTGATAAAAGCATTCGAAGTATGCTGGCCAACAACGCGCAAGAGCTCAAGTAAGGCGTGAGATGATTCACTCATATTTGTATGATTTGTATGTCTTGCTCATTCTGCCAAGGTCAATCTTATTAGTGTTAGTAAAGCGGGAATGAAAAGCACAGTATGGATAGAGACGATGGGCTGCTCATATATGGAGCTGTATTTCACTGCTTTTTAAGGAAAACTATTTCAAGCCTGGTAATATTCCGTATATTTATGTTGTCAACAAATCCCTTAAAAAGACCCAAACCAACAATGCATCGATCCTTTTAACAAGTATTCTTAGTATCCAACACAACAGTATAAATAGCTTATTCCTCTGTGCCATAGAGCTCCACTGTTGTCCAAACACTAATAAAAACACATCAGTGAGCCACACTGTTGCACTGGGTGACATGTTCCTTTATTACCATGAACACACACTGTAGTTTATTTTTACTCAATCCAACATACACCAACCCCGAATCCACATTAATTGTGGATTAATTCGCAGCTGAAAATAGTCCCCAACAAATTAATTCTGGTTAAAAAACTACAGTGCTAAAAAACTACAGTGCTCAGCTGTAGCAGATTCTTTTAGCTTTTTTAATATATTTATGGCCAGTTTTAAAGTTTTATGTTTTTGGTAGGAACCAACAGGAGTGCCACAGGCAGGTAGGGAGGTCAAAGTAGACTAACACATAGTTTCTTTTCATGCTAAAAGACTTTAAGAAAAATATTTTAAAATTGCCTTATTCTTATATAATGTATCAATCAAAAACCTGCGTGTAAAATGTGTTGAGTCAGGGGATCTCAGAGCCCTGTACTTACACCTAAAACCTCCTGAGAACCTCATAATCACATTTTTGAGGGGTTAAAATTTAAATCGTTGAGTTAATTTAATGTCGAAACGTTTAGGAAAAGACAACTGACAATGAACAGGGAGCAAATGTGCTTTATATCCAACAAGTCCTTCAACCCATTCAGCCACATAGGTCCTTTGTTCCTACCCTGTAAAACAACCCATGGGAGCATTTCCTAAATTATTGTCCCTACAGGTGGCAGGAGATTAACACATTTTCATATATAAATGACAGAATAGGTCATTTGCCAGTGACTTTTAAAACCACATATAACATGGCTACAGTTTTAAACACATGGACACCAAATCTACTCAGTTAAGTTTAATCAACAAAACTAGTTGGTTAGGTTTAGGAAAAGCTCATGGTTTTGGTTACAATAAGTAGGTCTGTTACATAACTTAAAGTTATTTGGGCAACATACGTATCATAAGATTAGCTAACTTGTGTATAGAAACTGACTTTTGGGTTCACATGTGACAAAAACACCAGTCTCCCGAGACAAAGTCATGTGTGTGTTTGACCCATCCATCCAGCCCAATCTCCTCCTTATTGTGGCTCTGTACACTATGTCACCTGACTTCCGTCTTTGCTTCCAGAATAATTACCACGGCCACTAGAGGTCGCCACTTAGCAATAAATGTAATAGGTTGTAGTAAGCTGCTTGTACAAATGACCTATGTCGTCATTTTGGGGGAGGACAGTCTCCAATGTCTTGCTGGTGCCAAAATTCCTAGCATGGATAATACCTGAGTTGCCTGCCATAGTTGTGCAATTCAGTATATATACGAATATAGCCAAATACATTATATAGCCTCCAGCCCCTCAGCAGTGTATTGGAAAAGTCTGATTTGACATAAAACAATCCATACACAAAACACTTTTTTATTTGATCTGAAGAAAAAAAAGTTTTTAAATCTTCAAACACATAAATAAAAATAGCATTAGGGATACACATTCCTCACATTTTGTAATTGTGAGATGTTTCCACTGACATTTTTCACAAACTATAGGATGTTAAATTTTATGGCATCGTCGTATCGCTATTTCAAGACGAGTGGCTGATATATAGCACAGTAATCCCTGTCTGTCCTAGCCCGGCATGCATGACACAGGACTGCTACCAGTTATCATAGAGTATCTTGCACTCTAATTATAACCATAGTGAAGCAAATGTTTGCATCTGTGTTGTCACATTCAGTAGGCAGTGGGCATAATAACAACAACCGTAGAAGCTATAAATTATATGCACCACATGGAGTAAATTATCCTCAAGATGCTGAACTTTTGCTGTAGGCCCTGAGCCCTTTTTTGTGTTTTCTGCCCCAGGTGCCCGACACCAGGGTGCGATGGTTCGGGACATATCACTGGCAACTACGCCTCACACAGAAGGTACAACACACACACTCTGCACACATGAACCCCCCCCCCCCCCCCCCCCCCCCCCCCCC